TTTCTTTTAAGGCTCGTTGTGCATCTTCCTCCATGGAATATGTGACAAAACCAAACCCCCGACATTTTTCTGTCTCTGGTTAAAAAATAAATAGACACCACCAATATCTATTATGTACGTAAATGTGTTTATGTTTGCAGTTTTAGTTTAATTCTACTTTCGTACGACTTTTTCCATTGTTATTCTGTATGGTTCTTTCGAATACACGACAGTACCTTTATCTCTGACCACGAAGCATTTCTTTACCGGACCAATTTCTGAGAATATTTCTTCGAGTCGCTCATTAGAAGCTGAATCTGGTAGAGAACCAACAAATATGGTGTGCGCCGCCATGGCTAACTGCTAACTTTACGGCGTGTGCACCAACTCAAAAAGTGAAATGCAGTTTAATACAAATCCACCACAGGAAGCTAATGTCTAAGTTCTCGATAACACGCTTATCAGAGGCATGAATACACGCGACAGAACTGTTTAACTTGGACGTCGTTAGCCACGGGATTAAGTCGCATGTTTACATGTGGAAGTAGCCATCTTTGAAAAAGAACGGAAGTGCATTCGTCACGTGCGCCACCGATCGTCCAGGAGGTTTCAATGTAGGAATAATATCTAAATTTAAATAAGTTGATATAAAAGTAAAATTCAGCTTCTTTTTGTGAAGTACCGTTTGTTTTCACCATTACTGAGTTTCCTGCATATGGTTACTATTTACTTTAACTTCCCACAATAGCTGTTTTATTGAGGTGGTGCTTCCTGCAGAAAGCCTAAAGGGAGCGTATGATGATCCCTTAATTAATTACTTCAAGAAACAAGAAGCTATTGCGGTTACCAACCATGACAGCACAAATCCAAAACAACTGATTAACTGATGTTGTTGATTTTCTTTATTCCCAGTTAACTACAAGAGGCCCTTGTGGTTAACAGATATAATTTACCAATAATTTACCTATATCCTTCTGTAAATTTCAGTATTGTTTTGTTTTTTTGTCATGCTTATATTACACTGGATTAATCATTTCTAGGATCTTGTGCTGATAGTAAAGCATAATTGTAATGATAATACTGGGAGTGAGCTACATGGCTTCTGCCACCAGGTGGTGTCTTCAGTAGCTCAAATCCCTTTCTAGGTACAGTACAAACTAAGCATTTACAGTAAAGAAAACAGTGTGTGGTTTTAAGGCATTGGGCCACTTCAGTTCTCAAACCCTGTAACTCTGCTAAAAGGATTGAATACCATTCTTCCAAAAGATATTCCCTTCTTTAGTGTTACAGTTTTAAAATCACCTTGGGCTATGACATTGTTGGAGAAGTACAGTACCTACCCTACAGAAACTGATTGCATCAAACCATATCTAGAAAAAACATCACAATGATGTTACTAATTGCATTGGTCAAAGGTTCATTTCTTTACCTGCTTATCACTTGTCTCAATAGTAGAATAGCTTGAAGTCTAAATGTGCTAATCAGTTCTGAGGTTAGGTGGTTAAATGTCAAGCATAATTACCTCCTAATATAAATACATACTTTTCATTTACCCCCAGTTAGTTAGAAACTATGTTGTACACATAGTACACACACATTTTTTGTATGTGTATTTTGTGTTAGGCAAGAGTACAGTGCTTTACAACAAGAATAATATTGCATTTCACTGCATTGGTGCTTTAACTCCTAACCCTTCATAATCAACTTGGACAAAAAAGGAAAAGTTAAAAAATACTTGCACAGGTTCAAGTTAAGATAAATAAATCTTTATTACACAGAGTTAGAAGTATAACATGTTATGCTTAAGCATCTTCAACTTACAAGTCAGTCATATGAAAAGTGTTAACAGAAATGACTGAATAAGATTTCTTTTCCCAGGTTCCCAGGTAGCAGGTCACATCCTTCAAGAATATTGAGAATACAAACACCTTAGAGTAGTTTAACACACACACACACACACACACACACACACACACACATAGACACCACCTAAATTAATCAAATATATACTTTCATGAAAATGTGTTGTTGTGATCACCTTAGTTCTTGCTAGACTTTGTGGTAGTAATAAGTGAGGTGCTTTTTAAGGCACTTTCAAGGCTTTGTGTAAAAATGTGTAAAAAGCAAAACTTCAGCAGCAGCAGTGTCAACTAGTATTGCATTTTCTTCTGAGTGCACACAGCATGCTGTACTTATCAGCAGGAAATTGAAAATCGCACCAGCGGTTTAACCCTGAAGCTCAATCCCATGAATCAACTGTTTTTTTTAAAGCAAGGAACAAGTTTCTTTACTTGTAAATTACTGCAGGAAAAGTAAATGTCCAGTTTTAATTTAAAGTTAAATTAAGTTTCACCTAAAACTATGCTGATTTCCCCTCTTTTGTTTGTTCCGTGTGCTCAGCACTGTCCACCAAATTAACTACTAAAATATTTTGTGTAACAATGATTAATCTCTTTATCACTCTAATGATTAGCCTTTTGTCTTTAACATGAGAAAATTTCCACCGCCCTCTCTCCAGTAGCTCAAAATCTGAAAGATGTGCAAAAAGTGATTGTATTTAAGCTGAAACCAGAGATTTGTCATTTGACTTTGAACTCATTATACTCATTAATGCAAGCACCAAAACACATGACTCCAAACACTAGACAGTAAAACCTCAAGCACACATCTTGACCTGTCGTGTTTCATAAATAGAAGCACTTGGAGCTTGCATGCTTGTGGCCATCGCTGTTCACATCATTCTTTGGAATGTTTACATTTTGTCTCAAATATAAAAAAAGAAGCAAAAAGCAAAGTTCCCATTTGAATTGGAAATTGTATTTTTGAACGGCAAAGAACAGTTAGGAACTTCAGTGTATAACCCTCCATTTCCAAAGGCGTTGAGATGTTGTGCAAAATGTAATGATGTAATCATTTTTAAAGATATATAGTTAACTGAAAAAGTAGATTAACAGTTCTGACAAACCATTATGTTGTAGTAAAATGAAGATGCCAAATTATGCTGGTTCCAGCATTTCAAATGAGAAATTTAAGTTTGGAATATGTCCTGCACTTGTCTTCCCTTCCATGATTTAGTTTAAGTTAGTAGACAGTTGCTTGCCTAAAAGAAAAATGTCAGACTTTATATTTGTTTGTTTACTTTGGCGTACATGAACATTGTGATCCAAAGTGCATTTTATTCTTTATATGCTTTGCTTTAGTGTTTATGAAACTGTATGAACTAAACCCTGAGTACACTTGATCTTCATTCTGAATAAAACTGAACTGTTACTGTACCTTCTTTACACACGCCAATTAGTGTAAAAATTCAAGATGTACTTTTACAGCCCAGCCAAAGCAAACCATTTGAGGTTAATGCACAGTGAAGTACCTCTTGCATTACATTGTTGGGATTTTACCTCATAACTTTGCCTTTAACGGGGTAAAACCAAGGGAACTGAGGAATGTGTGAAGTGTGGACAGATATTCCTCTGGGTGTCTCTTAAGGTGGCCCGCGTGAAGGGAATTGTCCCACTTCTTTTCTGTGACATCCATTCCACGCCCTCGCCAGTAACCGGCCAATTCCGCCAAATTTCGTGGGTCACACAGTGGATCGTTGTTACAGTAGAACATCAGCACAGGAGCGGTGACGGGCGTATTCCAAAACGCATCCAAGCATATGTCAAAGTAGTCCACGGTGTGGCTTTTAAACTTGTCAAAGTAAAACATGGCTGATTGCTTTACCAACCACTCACATTTTGGAAATACAGTTTTTCCCAAACCTGAGAAGAAAGAAGGAAAATAATTATCAATTTTGCAAGAAAAGGAAAACAAGAATTAGATAAAGTGTGAGTTAATGGTAACACACCTATAGCCATGTGCTCAAGGGATCCTGCCACCATGCTATCATAAACCTGCCCTGTGATCCTTTTTGTGAATGCCTGATATTTATTTGTATCCTTCGACACATGCACAAGGAGCTGAGCAAAGGTATATCCACCGATTGAAAATGCATGAACAAGCAGGGGGCGGGACACGAAGCGCTCGCTCTCCAGCAACTCCAGTAATGTCTTTCCATGTTCCAGACCCCAGCGGGGCCAAAGGAACCCTTGCACCTTTAAAAAAAAAAGGGAGAAATTCAATCAGCCATTCCGAAAATCATTAAAAACCATACACACACACTAAACTTTGAATATAAAACTGAGTGAATTCATTTTTCAAAGTAAGATCAATGCGCAACATTACAGTGCTCCCACAATGTCCTGGTGGGGTCCCCTCTACTGTTGCCTTTTTATGAGTTAGGTTTCCATTGCAATCTTAGTTTAATACAAACTTTCTTCACATTTATCTAATGCAGTTTCATTCTTATAGTGCTACTTCACAGATATAGACCTTAAAACACTTTACAGTTTATAGAAAATGAACCTTTAATTTTAGTTTAACCCTTTAAGACCTACCATAGAACCAAGTCCGCCAGAGTTTATATTATATTTTTACATG